ATCAGCATCTCATTCCCCAGTTTTTTCTTGTAAACTTTTTTTTATTATCCTATTGTTTCTCCCCAAATATTGTCCATCACCTCAGTTAGTCACAATGTTTGACAATTGCCTGTGATTGTTTTTCACCAAAGGTACTCCACTCCCCAACCAAAAACAAAACAAAACATAACATGCTATTTGCACTGAATGAGCTCAGAGTCAGCCAAATAAAGACAGTTTGGTACTAGAGTTTTCCAGAGAGCCACCAGACATTGCAAGTAATGACAATTTTCTGTGAATGGGACTTGTAAGGAACTCCAACCCTCTTCTGTCCCTTCTAGTGGCTGGTGATTTTCCACTATGATTGCAGGCTATTGGTTTCATGGCTTTGTGGAACTGGGAAAGGGTAGATGGGAACAGGGCAAATAAAACCACCACAGAGCTTGCTGTTTTTACTGAGATTCGGCCATATTTGTTGAATAAACACTCCCCAGATTGCTGCAGTCCTTTGTAATTTCCAGAGTTCTGAAAAAGTTCATTCTTAAACATTTGCCAGTGTTCTCATTACTTTCATGAAGGAGAGAATTTCAGAGGTCTGTACTTTACTATTTTAGCCGATGAGAGTAACATTAGCAGTTAATAAGGATATGTGGGTTTGTTCTCCAAGTGAGATGGCTCAAGGGAACCTGGGGATTACGGATTTTCAGTTAATCAACTCATGCCCCGTCCCTTTTTCAGGGTTCCATTTTTTTCCCTTTTCCCATGGGTGCCTTAGCATAGCAGATCTGTATAGAGTTTACTTTCTTTGGAGCTCTACCACTCTTAGGATTAAGTCCTGGTCCTTTGTGGCCTTCTGCTGGTAGAGATGTGTGTCTTCCTTACCAAAGAACCTCTGGCTTTCACACTTAGCTTTTTTTTTTTAAAATATATTTTATTGATTTTTTACAGAGAGGAAGGGAGAGAGATAGAGAGTTAGAAACATCGATGAGAGAGAAACATCGACCAGCTGCCACATCTTTTCTGCAGTAATATAATTAACTAGAGGCCCATTGAATGAAATTTGTGCACAAGTGCAGTCCTTAGGGCTGGCCTGTGATCGAAGTGTGAGTGTCTGGTGTGGAAGGGCAGGTCCCAACTGACCTCCGGGCCCTGGGCAGCGCCTGGACTGCCGCATGCCCCTCTTCGCCTGAGTCATCAGGCCCCCACCTGGTTCCCCCAGCACCCGGGAGCTGGGCAGCGGCCCTGCCACCGCCACTGCTGGTCACCATCTGCGGGGCGATTGGGCCTGGCTCGCACCCGCCTTGACCTGGCGCTGCCTGCTCACCTGCTCCGCCATCCCACTGTGGTCCCGCTCCCACTGGGGCCCATTGGGGTAGGCAGCGCCTCCACTGCTGTCCGCTGCCAGCACCACGTCATCAACACCTGTCATGTTCTGCATCACCCCTGGTGGTCAGCGCACGTCATAGCGAGTGGCCGAGCTCCCGGTCAAGGGGACAATTTGCATATTAGACTATTATTATATAGGATTATTCATTTCACTTCTTGTTATATTTTCAAAAGGGTCAATTGCCTTTGGCAACAACAAACCAATTTTATGGTCCTAATATTTCTCAAATGCCAGATACATTGGACTTCTAGTGCATGGGTTGGCACACTATGATTTGCAAACCAAATCCAGTCCAAGGCATGCCTGCTTTTGTAATGTCCCATTTTTAAAGAGCTGTAAAACAAAAAACAAAGAAGAATATGAAATACTATGTGGTCCTTTTAAAGAGTTTGCCAACTTGTATATTCCCTTCCACTGAAAACTGTCTAGTTTACCAATAGTGAAAGTTTTAACAATTGCACTGCCACTTTGTGCTAGGAGCTCTATTCACCACCATGGGATTCTTTGCCAAGTAGATAGTGAACCCCAAAACTTCATGTTAGAGCAGCGGTTCTCAATCTGTGGGTCGCGACCCCTTTGGAGGTTGAACGACCCTTTCACAGGGGTCGCCTAAGACCATCGGAAAACACATATATAATTACATATTGTTTTTGTGATTAATCACTATGTTTTAATTATGTTCAATTTGTAACATGAAATTGGGGGTCACCACAGCATGAGGAACTGTATTAAAGGGTCGTGGCATTAGGAAGGTTGAGAGCCACTGTGTTAGAGCCTGCTTTCTTTCTTTTTTTTTAATATATTTTATTGAGTTTTTACAGAGAGGAAAGGAGAGAGATAGTCAGAAACATCGATGAGAGAGAAACATCGACCAGCTGCCTCCTGCACACTCCCCACTGGGGATATGCCCGCAACCAAGGTACGTGCCCTTGACCGGAATCGAACCTGAGACCTTTCAGTCCGCAGGCCGATGCTCTATCCACTGAGCCAAACCGGATTCGGCGAGCCTGCTTTCTTGAACCATTCCCATCACCAGTGGCTGCTAGTTGGAAGAGCTAACTGAGATGGCGATTAGCATCTCAGGAGTCTATTAGGGAATGTTCTTAGGACAACATCTGTAGAAGGAATGGAAAGGAAGCAGAGGGATAAATTGGGCTGTAAAGTATTATCAAAAAAGCCAATTGACTTTATAAGGAACTCGAAGCTGGGATAAACTTCAGAGTTGTCCAAAGTTGTGGCAAGGTGCTGGGCCCTTATGGACCTGTTTTGATCAGTCACTCAATGACGGCCACTTGGGCAGGCAGCTGTTGTGAGCTGAAACATTCCTGAAAGGGCCTGACAGGTGAAAACTGTTTTCCAACAGCGCTCCCAGTAGCGGAAATAAATCCTTTATTTCTACAGGGGAAGCATATCCCTGTCTGCTACATATACCTTTATGTGAGTTCTTTTAATTATAATTTTACTTAAAAATTTTAAGTCATTTTTTTAATAAGTCAGTTTTTCTCATGAGAAAACTATTACATATAATTCTCTCACACTCTACACTGTTCTTGCAATCCAGGACCCCTCAGGTAACGTAGGACAGCTGGTTTTGCCTTGATCCCTGCAGGCCAGGCTGAGGGACCCCACCAGTGCACAAATCCATGCACCAGGCCTCTAGTGTGATTGAATCCTTACAATGCTAATCTTTAGGATTGAAATTTATAGCAAACAGGTCTTAAAAAGACATCTAATTCAGCCCTTTTGACAAATGAGGTTGAGAATAAGATAAAGGGTTATGAAGCTAGTTAGTGATAAGTAAGGATTAAAATGTAGGTTTCCACCCTAGCATGTTTGGTCAGTGGATAGACCATTGATCCTCGGCTCTGGTTTGAGGCAACCAATCGAGTTCTCTCTCACATCATCGTTTCTCTTTCTCCTCCTGACTTCCACTCTCTCTCTAAAATCATTGGAAAAATATCCTCGGGTGAGGATTAACAACAAAAAGTAGGTTTCCAAACTCCCAGGCTAGTATACTTTTAGCAACTCCTTAACTTAGTTTCTAAGAAGACAGTATTAGGGTTCTGAAACAACAGTGTTTTTTGGCCTTTAAAGCCATCTTGCTGCTCTTTGAAACAATGTTAAACAATACTAGTATATACATGCTTCAATAACAACAGTAATAATAAAATCAACTTCTGGACTCTATCATTTTCATCACCCCTGAAATTAATTTGGACAGATGAATATGATTTATTTTTAACTTTCCTGGAAGATGGTTCCACAGATATCTTTGGAAAGTTCTTCCTGATAACTATGGGTTATCAGATAATGGAAATCCTTCACTATTTATTTGCAGACAGGATTATATAATGAACATAGTTTTCAAATGATGTCTGACAGTGCTCTAGAATTTAAAAATGTAGTATTTTAGTTTCAATGATGTTTTTGGATCATCTGAATTGTAATTGAATACTGTTACTTGATTCTTGGATTAGAATTTACATTTGTATTTATTTTTTGTGGTGCCAAGTATTTACTGTTTTTGATCATTGGGGACTAATATTAAAGGAAAAGAATAGAGGTAATTTTAAGAATATGCTTTTGAGTTAAGTGAAGACCAAGTGATTTTTCTAGTATATGGAATTATAATTCTATACAGTAGGTCCTCAGGTTACATCTGAGATCCGTTTCTATGGTGTGACATAACGTGATTTTCGCCATAAGTCAGAACCCACATAAGTACCAACGTCACTCACATGGAGCACATACACAGCAGTAATGAAGTGAAACAGTAAAAAAAATTTTAAAGAAAGATAACAGTTCCTGACCTTTACTTGTGGTAAATAATAGAAATCATAAAGCACATATGTTGAAATCATGGAAGTTTTTTTTAAATAAATAAATGGGAGATGGTGATATAAACATGAAACAACGTACATCGAGTCCAACATGACCCGAGGACTGTCTGTACAATAAAACCCTAATATGCAAATTGACCGAATGGCGGAATGACCGGTCGCTATGACACGCACTGACCACCAGGGGGCAGACACTCAATGCAGGAGCTTCCCTGGTGGTCAGTGTGCTCCCACAGGGGGAGCGCCGCTTAACCAGAAGCGAGGCTCACAGCTGGCCAGCGCAGCAGCTGTGGCAGGAGCCTCCCCCGCCTCCACTGCAGCTCTAAGGACCCTTTGGGGGCTGTCCCCCTAGGGGTCCCTGACTGTGAGAGGGTACAGGCCGGGCTGAGGGACCCCCGCACCCCCTCCCCCGCCCCGTGCACAAATGTCGTGCACTGGGCTCTAGTGTTTCATAATAATGTGAAACAGAAAAATTACATACCTTAACATGAGGCATTTAGTAGTTAATAATACAGGTATTCCAAATTTAACCCTTTGAGTGCCAACCAATATCCTAGGAACTATGCTAAAATTGCCAAGGCATTTTTGCTGATTTTACAGCAGTTTAGGAAAAAAATTATGAATCGCAAGTAAATGAAGTTACATATTCAAAAACTTAAGAAAACCTTTACTACATTTGTTTTTGTCTTTGACATATATTGTTTGCTGATTGTATTATAAAATGCTAGTAGAAAAAAAAAATTGAACAACACATATAATGTTAAAATAGAGGGACACCCTTCTCCAATATCTTCCACAAAATTGTCATCTTCACAGCAAGAATTGACATATTTAACAATATCACTAATAAAAGCAGACTTAGAACTGGACGCCATTTCAAGCTTTAGGGCTACATAATCTGAGTAAACTTCATAAAATCTTAGTACCTGTAAAAAATTAGGCAGATAAATGCCAGTAGTCAATTTTAGAACTACAAACATTTGGCATCATAAGTAATCTGCACTCAGGTGCCATCTGTCAATAAAGAGTGAACTACTAGCATCTAATAGTGACACTGCAGGAGGAGCGCGATAGTGCTTCCGGCACTTTTGGCGAAAGACAGGAGGAGCGCAATTGCGCTCCTCGGCACTCTAGGGGTTAAAGGAAGCTTATAGTGGTGCAGTTAGTACCATTTTCAGGTTTTGAGCAGATATAAATTCAGCAAAATCACAACATCCATTCTTTTTAAAAAAAATTACATTTTTATTGATTTCAGAGAGGAAGGGAGAGAGAAACATCAATGGTGAGAGAATCATTGATCAGCTGTCTCCTGCACGCCCTCTACTGGGGATCAAGCCCACAACCAGGGCATGTCCCCCCCCTGACCAGGAATCAAACCGTGACCTCCTGGTTCACAGGTTGATGCTCAACTACTGAGTCATGCTGGCTGGGTAAACCAGCAATCTTTTGGTGCACGGGATGATACCCAACCAACTGAGCCATACGGGCCAGGGCTCTGTATTTTTTTTTTTTAAGTTAAGGTGGGACCCACAGTAAATATGTGTGTCTCTTTTATATCTCATCCTGAATGGTTTACTTTGAAATTAGAGAATTTAGTGCACTTGTATTGTTACTATAAGTTCATTTTGCTGTCTTTTCAGTGGAGAAGAGTTTTTTCCAACATCCAACAGTCTTCTTCATGGAACACATGTGCCTTCCACCCAGGAAACTGACTTTTCCATAGTCTCTGCACCAGTTTACATTACCATCAACAGTGCACAAGGGTTTCAGTTTCTCTATGTTCTTGCTAACACTTGTTATTTTCTGTGTGGGGTTTTTCCCCCTCCTAATGGATGTGAGATGATATTTCATTGTGGTTTTGATTTCTGCAATGGTAAGTTGTGTTGAGCATCTTTTCATATTCCTCTTGGCCATTTGTATTATCATCTTTGGATGATAAATGTCTGCTCAAATTCTTTGCTCATTTTTTAATTGGATTGCTTTTTGTTACTGAGCTTTCTCTATACTATTATCTCCACCATTGTGCTTGAGAATGACCAAAAGCGCTCATAACCATTTTTAGTGTCTAAACATTATATGTACTGATAGAGTCAAAAGCAGCTTTTTAGTGGTATTTTCTAATAAGCCCTTTCACAGTATGGTTTCTACTAATCTTCCAGATTTATCTCCCTTGTATCTCTTCTCATCATATCTCCCTTCCCCTCAAACATATAAAGGCATACCTTGGATGTTGCAGATTTGGTTCCAGAAAGTGAGCATTGCAATAAAGCGAGTCATAAACTTTTCAGTGGTGGAGGGTCTTGCCTTCAATTTGTAAAAAATGTGGCACCTATGAATAAAGTGAAGAGCAATAAAATGAGGTATGCCTGTAAAGTTTCAGTAATACTTAATTTCTCTAAACTGGTAAAGTTAGTGTATCCTCCTTGCCCTCTAGGCCATTACACACGTTCTCTATACTTGGAACATTTCTCCTGTTTGAACTGTCTTCTACTCCTCTTTAGCTCAATGCCTAGCTCTCCTTTTCTCTGGGAAACCATCTTTTAGCCTACAAAATATAAATTAGGTTTTTTTCCCTATGTGGTGAACTTCCTTAATCACATCATGTATGAAGCTGCGTTGCTTATGCCCAGTCTATTTACTATCTTTCCTACAGTAGGCCATAAACTCTGTAAGAACAGGGATTGCACTGGCCTTGTTCATCATAGTATCCCCAGAGCCATAGGAAGCATTCAGTAAATAATTGTTGTTGCAAGAATGAACACCAGTACTATATTATTTCAACAAATTTCTAATATGTGCAGTGCATTCTGAGTGATACAAAGTTGAACACAAGTTCGTTTGTTGAGCAAATAATTTGGTCCTGTCCAAAATGTCCAGGAAGAGATTTGATCCTCACCAAAAGGTCCTTGCTATTGGTCCTGTCCACAACATTCATGGAGACATTTGTTCCATAGTTAACATAAATTCTGCTCAGCAATCCTACAAAATAGGAACTCTGATCCATATACCTAACCCCATGAACCATTGCTAGCTAGGCCACCCAGGCAAGAATGGTGGCTATTGGCAATATAGCCATAACACAATCATGGGACCATAAAAAATGAGAGCGGTTTTAATGTATTTATCTGCTAAACCAAAAGTAGAAATAAATGTTCTATAAACCAAGAGATATCTTCAAAGCATGGGAGTTTTGGACAGGATCAAATGTCCTGCAATGGTTCTTTTATTCCAGCAGCTTAAAGTCTAATGGAGGAGAGAGGATTTTCTTACTCTGTCCTACTCTACATCAGCTTTTTATTTATTTATTTATTTATTTATTTTCAATTAATTAAATCTTTATTGTTCAGATTATTACATTTGTTCCTCTTTCTACCTCCCATAACTCCCCTCCACCCAGTTCCCACCCCACCCTCCTCCCTCACTCCCCACCCACTGTCCTCATCCATAGGTGCTCGATTTTTGTCCAGTCTCTTCCCACATCCCCCACACTCATTTCCCCCCCAAGAATAGTCAGTCCATTCCTTTTCTATGCCCCTGATTCTATTCTAATCACCAGTTCATTTTGTTCATCAGAGTATGTATTCACTTGATTTTTAGATTCACTTGTTGATAGATGTGTA